CTGAGGAGAAGAGATGCTTAGCGTGAGAGGAGCTTAATCACGAGGAGATGAAGGCGAGAGATCAAGAGAGGTGAGGAGGGGGATGCTGGGGTGCCGGCTGGGGGAAGGGGGGGTGAGAGGGGGAGAGGAGAAGGCTGGGGTTCCGGGGGAGGGGAAGGAGAGGGGGAGAGATATTGAGGACGCTGCGGTGCCGGTTGGGAGAGGGGGGGGAGAGGGGGAGTGTTGGGTGAAGGTGAAGTGAGATGAGGAGAAGCGAGGGGGGATGCTGGGGTGCCGGCTGGGGAAGGGGGGGGAGTGTGGGGTGGAGGAGAAGGCTGGGGATGCTGGGGTTCCGGCTGGTGGAAGGGGAGGAGAGAGGGAGAGTGTTGGGTGGAGGAGAAGTGAGATGAGGAGAGGCGAGGCTGGGGTGCTGGAATGACGGCTGGGGGGGGGGGGAGGAGAGTGTGGGGGAGGAGAAGTGAGATCGAGAGAGGTGAGGCTGGGGATACTCGGGTACCGGCTTGGGGGAGGGGGGGGAGAGTGGGAGTGTGGGGTGGGGAGAAGCGAGATGAGGAGAGGAGATGTTGGGGATGGTGGGGTGCGGTTGGGGGAGGGGGGAGAGAGGGGGAGAGATGTTGGGTGAGAAGTGAGAGCTGGGGAAGGGGGAGGAGAGGGGAGTGTTGGGTGGAGGAGAGTGAGATAAGTAGAGTTGAGGCTGGGGATGCTGGGTGGGAGAGGGGAGGAGAGGGGGGAGTGTTGGGTGAAGGAGAAGTGAGAGCAAGAGAGGAGAGGCTGGGGTGCTGGGGTGCCGGCTGGGGGAGGGGGGTAGGGGAGTGTGGGTGGAGGAGAAGTGAGATGAGGAGAGATGTTGGGGATGCTGGGGTACCGGCTGGGGGAAAGGGGGAGGGGGAGGGAGTGTGGGGTAGAGGGAGAAGTGAGATCGAGAAAGGCGAGGCTGGGGATGCTGGGGTACCGGCTGGGGAAAGGGGGGAAGAGAGGGGGAGAAATGAAGATGAGGATGAGAGTTGGAGGGCTGCTATAATGAAGTGATACAGTATGCGGGAGAGGGTCGAGTTAGATGAGGAGAATTGCTGCTGGAGATAGGGAGGCAGAGGGAAAGCTGGGGATGGAGTGGCGTGGCGGAGAAAGAAAAAGGGAAGAGGGAGGAATAAGAAATTAAGAAAGAGACGAGATAAAAGCATGAAGGAAGTGGGGAGGGGAAGGAGGGGGGAGGGAGAGAGGAGAGAGAGCGACGACACAAACAAGATTAATATGAGAAGGGGGATGAAGTGAAGGAGGTAAGAAAGGAAGAAGAGAAGAGGAGGATAAGGATGAGGAAAATTGGTATGAGACACAGGGGGAGAGGTAAATAGGAATAAAGAAATAAAATGAAGGCAAAGAGGAAGAAGAAAAAGTAGCAGTGTCAAAAGGAAAAGGAGAAGAAGGATTAAGAACAAAAAAAGAAATAAAGAAGAAAAAGGGGAAAGAGTAGGAGGAGAAGGAAAGTAGAGGGAAGAGAGAAATAAGGAGAATTACGAAGGAAGGAAGGGAAATGAAGAAGTCGAGAGAAGAAGAGAGAGACGAGAAAAAGAGAGAAGGAAGGCAGGCAGAAGAGAAAAAGAAAGCAGGGAAAAGAAATGGAAGAAGGTATAGAAAAAAAAGGATGAAAAAGGAAAATAAAGACATAAAGAAAGATATAAAAGAGGGAAGAAGAGTAAGAGGATGAAAATGGGCGTGCTGGGATGTGATTGCGTATGACTGATGTTTCCATTATGGGCGTGAGGCGTGGGCGGGGTTTTTGACAGAGTGTTATAGAGAGATGTTGGAATTATTTATCATTGGTGGTGTTAATTATGGTTATAGCTTAATTAAGAAGTATTTATTATTTGTATCATTATTATCATAATATTATCATTTGTACCATTATTGTTCATCATTATTACACAATTGTCAAATCATTATTATCATCATCATTATTATCATTATCATTATTTTTTAAATTATCATTATTATTATTACTATCATTATAATTCATTATTATTTATTATTATCTTATCATTATTATTATTATCATTATTTCTTAAAATTATCATATTCATTCATCATTATTATTACTATATTACTATGGATTATATCATTAATGCATCATCGTTATAGTCATTATTTGTGTCATCATTTGTATCAATATCATAATTACTATTGTCATTGTCATTATCATTACTAATATCATCATTATTATAATTATTATTACTACTTTTGTTATTACCATTATCATTACTATCATCATATATACTACTACTATTATTATTATATTATCATTATGATCATATTATCATCTCTATTATTATCCCTATATTATCATTATTATATTATATTATTATCATAATTTTCACTATTACCATTAGTATCATTATTGTTGTTCTTATTATTATTTTAATCATTATTGTTAACATTATCAGCATTATTGTAATTACTATTAATACCACTGTCAATATCTTCATCATTATCATCATCGGTATCTTTATCATTATCATTATTATTATTATTATTATTATTATTGTTATTATTATTATTATTATTATCATTATTATTATTGATATTATCATTATTACTATTATTATCATCATCAATATTATTATCATTATCATAATCATTATTGTTTTCATTGTCCTTATCATCATCATTACTTACATCAATTTATTTTCTACTACTATGATTATCATTATCATTATTATCATTATTATTATCATTATTATTATTATTATCATAATCATTATTATTATCATCATCACCATCATTATTATCATCTTTGTTATTATCATAGCAATAATCATTATTAATCTGTCATTTTTACAATCATTATCATCATCATTTCTATCATTATCATTATCATCATCATTACTATTATCAATATCATTGTCATTATTATCTTTATCATCATCATCATCTTTATCATTGTTATTATCATTATCATCATTGTTATTATCATTTAATTATTACTTTATGATTATTATCATCATTACTATTATCACTTTTTCATTATCATTATCAGTATTATCATCAATGATAATATAATGATTACTATTGTCGATATCGCTATATATTCGACATTCAAAATATGTGTTGGTTCTGATTTGAAGGATATATGGGCGCCCCTGAAAACATTTGTTTATGTATTTTCATAGTTTTAAAGGCATATCAACATAACAAAATTTAGTGTTATAACAAACAGGGTAATTTACAATAGGTCTCAATTAATGGTTTGTTTGTCTAAATGTTATCAGTTGAATGGAGGAAAGGCAATGTGTAGAGATATCATCCCTGTTTGGTCAGACGAGTCTTGGCTCTCACCCAAAACACAGGTATGTTAAGTGCTAGAATCCTAAATCATGTTTTACCCTGATTTTATAGTTTGTAATGGTTGATAAGTGAATTGACGTAGGTATGGAATCCCTGTGTGTTGAATTGTGATGACAGACAAGTCTTTGCTTCCGCCCCAGAGAGAGAGAGAGAAGTAAAGATTGAGAAAATGTGGTAAAGACCATGATGCTTTGTTGTTAGCGAACATTTTAGTTATCTATTTAGTCATTTGAGTGGCCCATGGATACAGCAACAGAATTAGTCATGGTTGACAGTTCCGGTGGTATCCACGGATAGGTTGAGAATGGAATTATTTAGTAAAGTGCTAGAGAGGAAAATTATAAAGAATGAAAGGGGAAACAATTACTTTATGTGTAAGTAAAGTCATGGAAAGATACTGGTAGAAGGAGTAAGGGTCTTGATTCTATTTCACATGTGTTTTTATTTTGTTCATGTTATTGATTATTGATTCATAATTAGTAGGAAAAGGGTGGGTATTGATTTAGTAGAGAATAATACTTTGTATTAAAACATTTATGGTTCAGATTTACATTGTGATAAGGCACCTGCTTATTATTATTTGTTTATTGAATAAAATGCTAATGGGTAAAAATGTTTCTATAATTATTGTATATTTGGCACACACTAAATAGAAGAATGAATTTAAGTCATGCTACCTAGATTAATATTAGGTGAGTCAAAATTGATTTTCTCTCTCTCTCTCTCTCTCTCTCTCTCTCTCGAGAGAGAGAGAGAGAGAGAGAGAGAGAGAGAGATTTCCTCCAAATCCAAATTCTCGAGTGGAGGCGGCGCTACCGGAGATCAATAAGCTTAATAAGTTTTATGGTTATGTCGTGGGGTAGGAATTTGAAAAGGATTGTATGATGATTAAAAATATTGATAATTTCCTATGCATATTTAGATCCAGTAAATTTATTAAGAATACATTTTGATATTTAGTAAATGAAGAATTTCGTCCCTTACACTATCATTATCATTGTTATTATTATCTTTATTATTGGCAGTGTTATAACTATTATTATTTTCATTATCATTGTAAATATAATTTTACTAGCACTTTATTATCACTATTATCTTCATCATTATTATTATCATTATTGCGATTCTTACTAACAATAGCAGTAGCAGTAGTAGTAATTACCATTATCATCATTACTATTACCATCATCATTTTCATAAACGTTGTTATTGTTAACACCACTACAGAAAAAATACTATGCTACATTAGCATTCATACATTCTTATCGCTTTCATCATTATCATTGTTATCGTCACTATGTTCTTTGTTTCTATCATTATTATCATTCGTACCATCATAACTATCATCACAACCGCCGTCGTACTTATCATTAATATCATTACTTCTTTTTCCATTTTTTTGTTTTCTGGAAAAATTGGAAAAAAAGCTTTTTAACATCCGAAAAACAATAAACCTTTTTGTTTACATTAATGTCATTTCAGTTCGCTTGATATTAGCCTTTGCAATTAAATACCCGTGTCTAATATAATGGCATTTTGTAGTTAAAATCACGTCCAATGAATTATTAATTCATCTAATGTTGATGGCAGAAGTTAAAAGTACAAAGTGGACTAAATTACACTGATTTTTTTCTCTCTTAACGTTGACAAACTCGTGCTCA